CAAAGGATAATAGTTTATACATTTAAAAATGTAATTAAGTTAATAAAAAATTGAAAAATATAATGGTTTATGCATTTGGTAATGAAATTAAATTAATAGATTTAGTTTCTTAGATGCATCATGCTTTTATTATTCGTGACATAGAATTGTAGATGAATTCTGTCAGTAGAATTATTTAATCGATTATTCCCACTCAACTATGCGATAAATTATTTTCCTCCTTTTACTGCATTCATCATCGCATACATTTTAAATAAAAGCTTATGGTATAAAAACAATTTTTAGCTGCAATTTATTCTGTTTTAATCTCGATTGTATTGGATTGGATTATTCAATTATAGCAAAGCCATACGAATGTATATACAAGACAGTTTTCCTCCACGAAGAGCATCCTCCACGAAGAACATCCTCCACGAAGGCATCCATTCCCTTAGGCAGATAGCGCTCGAGTGCTTTGCCATAATTAAATAAAGCAATTCAAACCAAACATTCCGCGCTTTAGCAAAACGTATCTGTCCAATAAAGAGCTTTAGGAGACTACCGGAACTCGCGCGACCACTAATCTTTCCATGGTCAACAATTAGCTCATTTCGTATTTCAATTATGCACCGTAGTGGACGCAAACTGTCACAGCTCACATTACGAATGTACGATTGAAGACACCGCGCCATTTGGTAAAAAGGACTTCTTTATCTCGCAGCCTCCGAAGGGTTAGATTTGGCTGTAATTTGTGAGCCACTTATTGTTTTTGTTTGCTTGTTTATTTGTCACCCAAAAAAAATCTGCGTTAACATTAGGTCAAATTAATGATTGACCTTCTTTAATATTTCTCTTTCTGAGAACTAGAGTTCCGTTTAAGTTCAATCAAACTCGTTATATGTAACCTAAAATTCAAAAAGTGCTGGAAAATGTCACAATAAATTTACTGTCGGGTAATAAAAATTGCTTTCGCAGTCTTCTTTAACTGTAAGGCTCGTTTAAGGTTTAACGACGATCTCTTGCAATGGGAAATCTCTAAGGAAATTAAATATTAAACTTAAAGCTTTGAGTAAAATCATCACTGGTCTTAAGAACTCCCGCAAAATGAACTAACGTGAAAGATGAAGGAAGTAACCAGTAGAAGCTCATGGCACAAATTTTCTCGTAATAAAGTTTAACCGTTGTTTCGTGTAATTTCTATGTTAAGATTATGATTTTAAGTCATAGAATATTTTTATTTTAAAATATTTTCCTGTATAAGCAGAAATATTTGCACTTTTTTCAGCGCAAAATGGACGTTAGTCACGAATGAGATATTAGTCTCAGAAAGGCATTTTGGACTGAATCACTATAAACGAGGTAACACTTTTCAAATTGTTGCCACAAAATATTATCGCCCTGTCATATATTTAAAGAAATTAAATAGCAAAGAATCTGCCTGGATGTATGCATGTTTCTCATACTGTCAAAAAAAAACACCTAGAGCCATCAAATTTTGAATAGCGTAGTCCTCCACCCGAACATGGGCACCTGGAAGCATGAATCTTGAATTTCGAATTTGCTTTATTATCTGTTTTATATTTTGTAATTATTTAACAACCTTTTAATTAACACAACATTTTTATCTCCAGCTCGCGAGACTGTCTATCTGAAATTCTAAAGTTATGCTGTCTTTTAATATTTGGGGATTTAGCTATTCAATCGAAATTTATGTCGCTTGCGACAAGAACGTGATATTTAATAAATAAAGTAAACACATAAAACGTTAATAATAAAAAGACAAAAGAAACTTTTGTAAAGCCATCTGAATATGAAAACTGAACATTGATATATTGAACTGAGAAAAGACTGAAAAAAAAACAGAAAATTGTATGCAAACACTTAACGCTGCTTCAGGAATTCCAAACGCATACAATGCTATGTTTCTTTTAGTTTTTTTGTATTTTTGCTGTTGAACTGTATATGGTGTAAGTGCAAAAAAAAATGATGTTCAGCGAAAGCGTACAAAATCTGAAAAACCCTTTTGGAGATTCTTAAACTGAAACCTTTCAGTTTTTTTTTTTTTTTCAAAGAAAAACGTTTATAGTTTATACATTCTTTCTTGAACATACTGCGACAAAAAGAATGAGCATAATTTGCATAAATGGGAAGGACGAGTTTCGAAATACAGAGGGAGTTTACACATTTTTAGAACGACTTCGATATAAAGAATTAAAAAAAAAGCGAACGTTTTGAAAGAAAAACCGGTAACAGTATTTGAAATAAGAACCGGTAATAATATTTGAAATAAAAACCTTTAATAGTATTTAATTTATTTGAAGTAAGAAACGCTACTTTTGAATTCATTCTTCTTTCAAAACGTCTCATGTAAACAAGGGGTGAAATGAGTCTCTTCTTGCAACCCATTCTGGATATAATTTCCTCCAGGCCAAAGACATGGTCCTCTAAAACCCTTGCTGCAAGCTTTGTTAATGCAATAAGAAATATTAAAATTCCCTGAGTGTTAATTATGTGGCGTAGATTACCTAAAAATAAATTTGAAATCATATGCTACCGAATGGAGTGCTCGTAATTCGAGACACCTTTCATCACCCGAAGTGTTTTTTGTTCTGATATAATTTGTTCAGAAACTGAATGGTTTGCGAAATGAGGCATTGATGATCCGAGGTTCAGCTAGATATGTATGTACACTGACTACCAATAAGTATTTGGACACCTGTGATAGAAAAGAAAAACTAACTTTATTCAAAATCAATAGGTGGTAGAGCCTCCACGAGAGGTAATTAACAGCGTGGACCCTCCGGGGCATACTTTCCACAAGTCTTTTCATGAACAGCTAGTGGTATTTCTTCCACTCGGCTTGGAGAAGACAAGACGTTCCTTCACCGATTTGCACGGGTAGTGCACCCTGAATTCGCGATGCAACTCGTCCAGAGGTTTCTCGATAGGGTTCAAGTCTGGACTCTGGGCAGGCCAGTCCATTGGATGAACTCCATTGGCACCATACCAAGCCTTGGTTAACGTCGAAACATGACAAATGGCATTGTCGTCCTGAAAGTAACAGGGGTCCAACCCGTAAAACTGCCACAACGTAGGAAGTACATTGTCATTAAAAATAGTGCAGTAGGCATCGGAGTTGAGCTTACCATGAATGGGGACCAAAGGTCCCAACCCATAGCAGGAGAAACACCCCCAGGCCATAATTCCACCTCCACCGAACTTGACTGTTGGCACAATGCATTCTGGCAGGAGACGTTTTCCAGGTAGACGCCAGACCCAGACTGCCATACGAACGTAAAGGTGAACCTTGATTCCTCACTCCAAAAACCCTTTTCCACTGATCTACGGTCCAATTTCGATGTGCTTTGCACCACATTAACCGAACAGAGCAGTTGGACTTTATGATCAAAGGCTTATGGGCAGCAGCACGACCATGAAACCCAAGCAGATGTGCTTCCTTACGGATGGTATTCATTGAAACAATACTCCCGGATGCCTGTTGAAACTCCTCGCGGATGAGGGCCATCGGTTGGGGGCGGTTCTTCCGAATTTCTCTGGACAGCACTCGTCGGTCTCTATCTCCCAGTTTCATTGGTCTGCCGACTCGGAGCACATTCCGACAATCACCGCTCACCATCCACTTCTTAATCACATAGGCCACTGTCGATTTTGGGTACTTCAGATCGCTAGATATGTCCCTTAAGTATCGGCCACATTTGTGATACCCGATAATTATATCTTTCTCGAAATCAGAGAGCTCCGAACTGCGAGGCATCTTGTATGCGACTAAAGCCGATGCTGTTTCCTACACGATATATACCGGCGGAGACCGTGACCTACCTTAGGACCGCAGATATCGTCATTTGCATAGGTGTCCAAATACTTATTGGTAGTCAGTGTATATCTATGCACCATACTTCTCTGGCGTAGCTAGAGCTTTGGCCGCCCGGGGCGGTAATTTGAGGAACAAGAAAAATAAAATTTTTAAATGTTGAAATACGTTAAAGGAAAAAAATTATTTCTACTTCTAGTTTTTAAGAAAAATTTCATTTTTTTATTTTTTTTGGGGGGGAAGGGGTTTGCAAAATCATCAGTAATAATGTAGACGTCTACTTGATTGCTGCAGTAAAAAACGATTTCTTAAATACAAAGTAAACATTTGTAGTCCTTATATACTTCTGAAATGAATTTCATTTAGTTAGCTCTGTTTGTTATCGTATAGTGAGAGTTTCAGTACCATTAAAAGATCTGGAATTTGTTTTGGATACTATATTTTACAATAAACTGCAAATATTCAAATGCACCTCTCTTTCACATTCATGCTTTGTTTTCCCTCTCAGTAATGAAAATAAACTCTATAAACTACTATTAAGATGAAATGATGAAGATGGAAGATTAAGATGGATTAGATTAAGATGGAAGCATTGCTTGTTAAGAGAAAACTAAACATATTTTTCTCTTAACAAGCAATGCTTCCATCTTAATCACACGCTTCTTAGTCACAGTGACCATAATTTTGCTGATTTCATATTTTCAATCAAACGTTTTGACGAAGTAAAAAAAAAAGCTATAACAAGAGTATGGAGCTGTTTTAAATCTCGAGGTGATTTTTTCTAATAGTTTACCTACAGCAAAAACTATTTTTCGTATCGCTTTAATTCCGTGCAGCAATTCAAAATCTCTTAATTCTTTACCTGCCTCTATAATTCTTCAGACTAACCTTTCACGTGAAAAATGCAACCACAAAAAATATGCTGCAATTAAATTAAGAATAAGAAATAAGTAAATTAAGAAAATTTTCTTTATCTGCTTCGAAATACCTATAAAATAATGTTTCACTTAAAAGAAGCCACCACAAAAAAAATGTATCACCCACGGCGAACCGCCCCTTCTAGCTCCGCCACTGGCTATGTTTCAGTTTATTATTTACTTTCTACAGAAAATGAGCTTAAAAACGTAGCTGAATTTCAGAAAATTATGATTATAAATATTAAGTCATTCTTCGTTTTTTTCATTTGCAGTTGATTTGGAACGGTGTCATCCGACCCAGCCTTTCCGTTGTCCAGGCGAGAAAACCATCTGCATTTCCATCCAGTACTTGTGTGACGGTGCTCCAGACTGTCCCGATGGATATGATGAAGACCTCCGGCTATGCACTGCAGGTATTTGTTAAATTAACATTTTAACTGACCTCACCACCACACAATTTTTTCTTCTTTCTTCATGATCAATATAAGAAACGAGCATAAACGAGCAGACCATGAACGATTTTGTCTTGAAAAATTATATTCTGGTAATTCTCCAAGTAATATAGTTCATACTTCGGTTACTGACAATGAATGATAAACAGGGGCTGCAGAAAATACCTAAATCTTCTCAATTCCTATCCCTTTAGGCAAAGAATGAAATGTCTGAATGCTAGTGTTGTTTTAATAAGCTATATATTTTCCCTGGATATTGTATATAGCACTTGGGCATACAGAATAACAAACATTACTCAGGAAAAATATGAAACAGTATGTATAGAGTATGCATAGTATGTATAGCGTGGTAACACTATGTATGGTATAAAGGTTCCCCGTTAAAAAGACATACAAATCTGTGAAAGGGGAAAATGCAAAATAAAATCTAGCATTCTCCAACTGAAGTGTAATAGAAAAAAAGTTATTATACGCCTAGTTATTGCAATAAGGAATAGAAAGTAAATTTAATTGCATTTAATTATCTTTTTCCACCCAAGGGTGCTTCATAGCTTCGCATTTAGTCTCGTACTTATGCCTCATTAATTTCCAAATTAGTCTTCCACATGCACCTCAGTCTCGGTCAGTATTTCTTCTACTCGGTCTCGGGGCCCCTCCATACGTCTCAATAATGTCCCACTTCATCTCGCATGTTAATTTTCTACTTGCTGTCGGACATACGCCTGAGTAACGTTCCTCTTGATCATGCATATACTATTTCGCAAAAATTTCTTACTTAGTGCTGCACATATACTTTTATAATTTATCTGTTGGTCTCTCTTGCATACCTCACGTAGTTTCACATGTACACCTCAGTTAAAAAAGTAAAAAAAAAAAAAAAAAAAAAGAATGAAGAGCATGGATTTGTGCTATATTATTGTTTGCTTTTGTGGTTACTTTTTGAAACTTCGCTATCGATACGCTGTGCCGTAAATGGCTGAAATTAAAGAACTGCGTTGATAACTGGAACTTCAGCTTGATTTAACTTACGGAACGAGCAATTAATCTTCTGAGTGAATTTCGAGAGTTACCTGAATGGATATAAAGAACTTAATACTAGACTGATAGGGAACATAACTACGTGGATATACGTGATAATCTACCTACGTGAATAATCGGAACTTAAGCTTCCTTTAATTTACGAAATAAGAAATTAATTAGCTGATTAAATTTGAAAAGCTGTCTAAAGTGATTAGTGAAACGTAAGCTTGATTTAACTTCTGGAATGAGGAATTAATCAGGATCCTTTAATTCAGAACGAATACCAAAAGAAATTCATTTGGAATGTAAACATTATTCACTTTATAATCAGAACCAGTTTACTCGCTAAGAATTCTACAAATTAACATTTTCTGTTTAAAATGTTAAAATTTAAACTGATTTAGGCATCAACTTCGATCAGTTATTTACAAACTGTGTTCAGCAGAGCCCCGAGGTTCCATGAAACGTTTTCTAGGATTTCGCAAATCTCAACACGATTTGAAACATGCATTTCTTTTAAAGAATAAAGAAAGGAAAAAGAAAGTAGGAGAAAAAAAGGAAGGAGAAAAGTAATATCATAGACACAATATTAAAATGAAGGTAAACAACAAATTTAGAACAAATATTAAATCAACAATCAATATGTTAAACAAAAGTAAAAAAAAGCTAAATAAGCCATAATGACATAATAAAATAAAAAATATATATTAAATAATAAAATGCAGATACCTTTTTATTATACGCGAGTCAACATTTAAAATATATACAAAAAGATTTGAAAGATACATAGTTTTCTTTTTTTTATTATACTCTAATGTAAAGTTTTAAAACATTTAAAGCTTTTTTTTAAACTAAATGAAACAAACTTTGCAACAATGAATTATGTAAAATTTCAATACCTAGATAACAATGAAAATTAAGTACAAGCTCCTAAACTATTGAGTAAATTAAAGTCACAACAGTTTTACGTATGACAGATGGAATGTAACTCATGCTGCATTTGAAACCTTGATCTCTGCATTCGGCATGGAAAATGCTATCCATTAAATGTAAACATCAGGTTGCTATGAGAATTACAAGGAAAGGTTGGAAACTGAGGATTATTTTTGTAACTGCAGTCCATAGACTGGGAAATTATGATAGTATTTAGAAAGATATTAATTAGATGTTGATGATGATGATCAAAGTTGAGGACAAATGATAACTTGTTCAAGTAATAGAAAGAGAGCTACAATCCCTTTAGGCTGTCACAATTCAAAGGGAAATAATCTATTAATGACCTGACACTCGTAACTTAGCATATTGCTCTTCACGAATTGCTGAAACCGTAACAAAGCGTTTTCTCTGGTATATGGCCGAACATGCAAGTCTTTTGTCACTTCACAGTTAAACATTATAATGTTCAATAGTTCCTTTCATAGCACAGATAAATTGATCCGTGTGATAGAGTCCAAAGCGATAGAGATATGCGATGAAAGGCCCATACACTGTTAGGAAGAAAGTAGTAGCTCGATTTTTGGAGATCATATTTCTGGAAGGGACTGGCAAAAATTTATATGTTCGTCATCCTGTATCGTCTTGGGACCAGTTTATTCCATAGTGACAATGAGTAGTAAACCCTTGCTACGCTCATATTTGCAGAATGCACTAATACTTAAATACCTTAAGTGTATCTATTAAATTTGTCAAACGCTAGAATTTCAATTATATTCAATACGCTACAAAGCGTCGGCCGAGTTTCGATAACAACGTAGTCGACAATGCATTCTCGGTAGCATTATACTCATCACACTTAAACTATAGAAAGTACTGTTATTCGAAACAAAGCTTAACGTCGCTCTAATTTCCACCACGTAAAGCTTCATGAAGAAATTGGCTCTGTAGATAAAGAAGCAAAACAGGAATCTAAATCCAAGTTTTTGAAATCCTTTGAAGGAAAGAATTACGTTCCTCAATAATTTTTCAGAGGGTTTCCCGTATAAGTTATCTGTATGAAACTGATCTATTTTATAAGCAAATGGAACTACCAACGTACATCAAAAATACACAAAAGCTTGCCCCAGCGTTTAAGGATAAGCTCATTTCGCGCTTTGTGGAAGTACCTCAAGCGACTTCAAGTGCAAACCTTAATGCCCTCTTTAATGAACGATTTGAACATTCATTCGCTATAGAAGTCAGACATTACTTAGAACAGGAAACCTGAGCCTAAAATTATCCTATTCCTCGATTATGCTCCAGAACACTGCAGTGAAGCCTTCACAACACTGCATCCAGTTGTAGAGGTTTTGTTCCTCCCACCGAACACCATTTCCTTAATTCAACCAATGGATCGAGGTTCTTAAAAATATTCAAAAGTATGCAAGGCATGTTTACAGTTCTGAAGCAAAAGCACTAGATAAAAGAAAGCACAACACACTAAGGAGATTTAGGAAGCAATGCAGCATAAGACACTATACAGAAATGATTAACATTCATGGGGACAAGTGAATTCATCAACACTGAAAGCATGCTGGACTCAGTCAACAATTTTAAAGGATTTCCATAGACTGAAAATGAAGATACATATTCCTGCAAATTGCAAAAGCAACCGGCGGCAAAGGATTTTTAGATATTGAAGAAAACGTCAAAACATTAATTGAGAAATGACCATTAAGAAATGAGAAATGCAGAATTGTATGTATTAGCATACCGAAGAACAGCGAAAACAGCGATAGGGAATAAGAAGATAAAGCGTATTCAACTTACAAGAATGTAAAAGAATTGTTGAAAAAGTCACAGGAACTTTCTGATTTTGCGATGGAGACTGACCCAAATGAAAAAATCTGATGTGTACACCACATGACTTCCTTTTACGGAATATTAAATTATACGCATTTTTCTTGCATTTTATTTAAAATTATTAGATTGAATTAAACCTACTTCGCCGACAGCGCATAAACCACAATAGAATAAATGCATTCTTTAAAATTCACTTTGTTTGCCATAGCGACACTCTGGCGCTAGGTTTACTTAACAGTATTATGTTTCATTCATATTATAACACAGAATGCACAAAATGTATATCATTTAAAAAATTATCTAATCGTTGCCACATGTTCTATTCAAATACTAAAATAAAGCTAGAACTATGTCTAAAAGAAATTAGTAAACAAACAGAAAAGAAAAAAAACAGTTTTTCACAGACGATTGAGTATTTCTCATTTAATTAATTCATTCTAACTTCGCGAGAAGCAACAATACATAAAAATTCAAATATCTATATAAAAATTACGAAGAAATCTCAACGCTTATTTCCTCGAAAACATTCTAGAAAGAATTAAGCATGATTTAATTGGCAATAATAAATGAATGCGTTATCTTTGTTGTTGCGAAGCTAAGTTTCTCTAGATTGGCAACAAATCCACTAGTCTGCTGTTTCAAATGTAAACATCAATGGCCGCCATTAAAAACAGGCTTAGCGGCAATAAAACAACTTTAAAATTGCTGATAATTCTAAAAATATTGCACACAGATTTACTAAAGGCATAAAATCCTTAACCGGAAGATAAAAACAACATAATTCAATCATTTTTAAAGCAAAAAATTTACAATTTACAAACATATAAGAGTAAAGAAACTGAGATCAATGAGCCCGGTAATAGAGTGGATATATATATATATATATTTATATACGTTTGGTTCGGCCGATTGCAACCAAAATACGAGGTGCACATCTACATGTTATAGCAGTCCTATATACAAAATTTCAACATTTTGAGGCTACTCATTTTTGAGTTATGCGAGATATGTACGTACGTACGCACGTACGTACATACGTTCGTACAGACGCCACGAAAAATTCTCTTCAGAATTCATTTTAAAGCAGTTTTATAATTTTTTGAAGGAAAAGAGTATTTTATTCTGTCCTTACGTACATATATCACGCAAAAACATCGTTAAAT